ATGATCACTGTTTGAGCTGGCCACGGGATTTGGAAATCGGTGATACTTGACACCAGTTGATAGGACAGCAAGTGGGCTTGTTTGATTGGCCACCCTCCTACTGCTGTTGCTCTTCTTACTCTTATTGCTGATGCAACTTCTCAGTCTACTCCTGCTCTTGTTGCTGCTGCAGCTGCTGCTTGTCGTCGTGGTCGTCGTCGTCGTCGTCGTCGTCGTCGTCGTCGTCGTAGTAGTAGTAGTAGTAGTAGTAGTAGCGCCGCGGATCCACTACAACACGCTACTACCTGACAACATAGATCTGGGATGTTTCCAGCCACGTAGCTGCCTTGAGGCAGAGGCTAAGAAAGCGCTGGCTAGGGGAATGGTCACAGGTGAATTGATTGCCATGATGGCTGAGGAGCTCCCGTCCTCTTTCAGAAACATACATGGCTGCGGCAACTTTGGCAGCAGGCTCACACCCAAGGCCTTTACGGCAGGGGGCCTACATTCATGGTCCGCACGCAGGTCTGCGCTTGGTGACGCTCGAGTTTGAGATCCTGGTGCTGGTACTTGTTTCTGTAGCAAGAGGCGTGCGCCCCGACATGTGCTTCTCAAGCGTTTCCTTGCTTCGGAACATAAAGCTGCCCTGCACCGTGATTGTCACAATCATGCCCGCTCGACTAACTTGGCGCTCCCAGTGACTCAGTTTTCTGGAGGTGAGCTTTTTGTGGAGGACCGCCATGGATCTTCATTCATGGGCACTTCGAGGATTGCTGGTAGTGTGTTCCCGCTGCTACATGACCCCTTCCATGGGGGGGGGAGAGGACTATTCTTGTTGCCTACAATATCCGGAACCCTGAAATGCTACCTGGACATGCAGCCTTGCAGTTGACTAAGATGGGTTTTCGGCTTCGGAAGAGATGACTGCGCAGAGTGCGATCGCGTACCGAAAACACTGCTTTCCTGGATGACATGCTTGAGCTTCCTTGCTTGCGCCTACGGAGCCTGTCAGGTACGTATGAGCCAGTCTTCGCATGCTTGATTGCCCTTAAAGTTTCTTGTAGAGTGCTTGTATATAGCCTGGTCTACGGCCATGACTGATTTCAGCATGGAAGTGTTGCCGGACGCGGGGCATTCCATGGGCTGTCGGCCTGGGAGGGTACGGGCTCTGAAATCATGTCTACAAGACACTGAGGACGCTCGTGTCTTCGTCGTGACGGGACCTCGTATGTGCATAGCTCAGTCCTTTTATGTGTCCAGCTAATGCCGAGCGGCTTTTACAGAGTTTTATTCAGTTGCAATTTTGGATCTCCATGTGCTAATGATGCAAATCCGGAGTGCTTGGCCCCACGGGGCGATTCTGGAGGGGTGCTTGGCCATACTTGGCGACCCCATATTTTATTGTTAGATGTTCTTTGCGCTTGCATTTCAAATGTAGGCTTTTCATTGACCGTCATCGGGCCCAAAGGGCGTGGCTAAGCAACCGCCGCCACGAAAAGTGGTGCCGCCGCAATGGAGAAGACTCTTCTCTAGCGATGAGGAAGGAAGTAGTAGTAGCAGTAGTAGTAGTAGTAGTAGTAGCAGTAGTAGTAGTAGTAGCAGTAGTAGTAGTAGGAGTAGTAGTAGTAGTAGTAGTAGTACTACGCGCGCTTCATGTATTTGACGACCCGTTATTCTGGCTGTCCCGTAACTGGAGAACTAAGAAAAAACTGCAAAACGCAGTACTTCGGA